CCTTCCTTCCTTCCTTCCTTCCTTCGTTCTTTCCCTCCCTCCCTCCCTCCCTCCTTCCTTCCTTCTTTTTCTCCCTCCCTCCTTCTCTCCTTCCTTTGTTTCCTTCCTTCCTTCCTTCCTTCCTTCCTTCCTTCCTTCCTTCCTCCCTCCCTCCCTCCCTCCCTCCCTCCCTCCCTCCCTTCCTTCCTTCTTCATACTTTACCCCTAAATCATCACTTTTAAGATTTATTTTCTTAAAAACATGAGGAACACTATAAGGACCAATCAAAGAATGTCTCAGTTCCATCATTGTTTCTGACAGCACCATCACGAAATGAATTTTATAAAAAAAAAAAAAAAAAAAAAAAAAAAGATCTAGTTGTGTTAATTCCACCTCTATCCTAATTTAATTATTTTTTTTGTAAAGGAAAATTTGTCATTCATATGGGAAGATTTGCCCCAGTCTTTTCCCCTCAGTTTCTCTGTGACTAATAAGTATGTTGCGGCTGCTAAGACTGAATTATTCATTCTGTAAGCACTTAATGGCCCCTACCGTGTATAGCTCTCTATGCTAAATACAGAGATTGGACACGATTTGTCAAGAGTAGTCTCTGCCTTCAAGGAGCCAGAGATGAGCCTGAAGAGGAAACTGCAGGCCGGGCGCGGTGGCTCACACCTGTAATCCCAGCACTTTGGGAGGCCGAGGCAGGTGGATCACTGGAGGTCAGGAGTTTAAGACGAGCCTGACCAACATGGTGAAACCTCGTTCTACTAATAATACAAAAATCAACTGTGTGTAGTGGTGCATGCCTGTAGTCCTAGCTACTCGGGAGGCTGCAGCAGGAGAACCACTTGAACCTGGGAGGCGGAGGTTGCAGTGAGCCAAGATTGCACCACTGCACTCCAGGCTGGGCGACAAAGCGAGAGTCCATCTCAAAAAAAAATAAATAAATAAATAAAGAGGAAACTGCAGAACCTTATTTTTAATGACCGTTAGACCCCCTAGAGCCAAGCAAAGAACTCTAGGAATTCAAAGGAGATGAGGTTATGTCTCAGGAGCTTGCCCAGAAGGATAGGTGGGGTTTGGACAGACAGAAACAGGAAAGACTGTATTATAAGACGTTGCCATACATGGATGCAGTGGGCATCTGTTACACCCAGCAGCTTTCATTCTATCTACTCAATTTCCTATTGAGGAACTACTTAAACCCCGTTATTCCAGTCTTAATAGAACTGACAGACTGCCCTGCCCTCTGTAGGTCAAGAGATGAACATATTACCCAAGCAAGGACATTCATAGACTTTTTGCCAGGAATTTGATCAGGATGAACCAAGGAAAGAGAATAGAGCTGCTCAAGACTTTTCTTTAGCAGGGATTGTATGTTCCTGTTCCCTTGGTACCCTGAGCTACTCCTGATACTGTCTTTCCCAAACTGGGTGGCTCATTTTTGTCCATTGATTCTGTGAGCCACCCCACATTATTCTAACAAATTCTCTTTTTTGGCTTAGTTTAGCCAGAATCACTTCTGTCGCATTCAGCCAAAGAACCCTAAATGGTAGCTTAACAAAGATTTAGAGAAGAAAAAACAAGATTTGTTTGGGTGGCAATGAACAGTCTGTCTGTAGACTGCATACGAGAAAGCTTGTAGTTGGAAATAAAGTTGGAAAGGATGCTTGGCTCTGGAATGTCGAGGATCTTAACTGCTAAGCTCAACTGATCCATCAAAGCGAAATTTTAGGAAGATTAAATGGGAGAGGGGGCAGGGAAACCAAGGCGGTTAGTAGCATAGCTTCTTTTGCAAATTCTTGCTCTGTTCTGCATTATTTATTTAACTTACCTTCATTTTTTGAAAACTGATTGTATATGCCAAGTTCATTATAGTGTAGGGCTATAAAGATGATTAAGGCATGGCTCTTGTCTTCCCAGAGCCCTGCTAAGCTGAAAGGTTGTTCATGTGAGGGATAAATCATTAGGATGACATAAGAGTTATACGTATTTTATGTACAAGAGAGTGATTAACTCTTATGTTGGGTTGCCTTCAAAGAAGTGATGATTTCTGAAGAGAGTTTTGCATAGAGGTTTGCCAGGTGGGCCTGGTGGAGATGGGCATAAGCATTGGAGATTAAAGGATTGAAGGCCTGGAAATATATCAGTGTTAGAGATAAAGATTTAGGATCATAAATACATAATATGATAGTTTTAAAATGGATGAAATTGCCCAGAGACATAGATGATGGTCATAAGAAAGGCAAGGACTGAACTCCAAGAAACATCAGTGGTGAAAAGATGGCCTGAAAAATACAGTGCCTAGCAGAGGACCGTGAGACAGGAGTGAGCGTTCGGGAGAATTACCAGATCAGGGTGCCATGGGAGCCAGTAGAGGAGAAAGTTATAGGACGGGAGGAGCAAAGTGTAAGAAGCCACAAGATGAAATAAAAACAGGACCTAAGAATGTGTATTAGTTTGGGCAAAGGAAGGGTTATTAATATAGTAAGAGTAATTTCAGTGGAATGGTGGGGGCAGTAGTTAGTTTACAGGAAGTGGAGGGGAAGATGAGGAAGGGAAACAGAGTCTGTACCCTTGCTTTCAAGAAAATTGGCTGGTGATGAAAGGAGAGGAATATTAGCAAAGGGGAATACAGGTCAAGGGAGGCTTCTTTCTTTGTTTTGTTTTGCTAATGAGAAAAACTGATGCTTATTAGTCCTGGAGGTCCATGGCATGGACTTTCCTATCAACTGAATACATTAAAGAGAATAGGATGTTCCTCCTGATGTGTAAATACACCATCTCACTTTTGATCCAAGATAGGCCTGTCTTTTTTTATATTTTTCTCTATTACAAAAATATAGTGCTATTCTAACTGTAACTGTGTGAAGATACTGAAAGGATTGAAATGTCCCAGAAGCAAATAAATTTGGGATCATCTATTAAATATTTAATCTGGCCATGTGTAGATTTAACTTTTCGAGGAGGGAAAATTAAGTGGAATTCTAATCCCAAACGCATATTTTTCTTAGGGAGAAATATTGTGAGTACACATGAAACACCTTATGTGACAGCTGTTTCCCCTCTATAGTTTGGGGATAACAAAGGGAAAGGGTTAGGATTAGCAGAATCTACTAATAATCTAATCATTGTCTTAGTGAAATAATTTTTTTTTTTTTTTTTGAGATACAGTCCTGTACTGTCGCCCGGACTGGAGTCCAGTGGCGCAATCTCGGCTCACTGCAACCTCCACCTCCTGGGTTCAAGCAGTTTTCCTGTCTCAGCCTCCCAAGTAGTTGGGATTACAGGTGCCCGCCACTACACCCAGCTAATTTTTTGTATTTTTAGTAGAGACGGGATTTCACTATGTTGGCCAGTCTGGTCTCAAACTTCTGACCTCGTGATCCACCCGCCTCAGCCTCCCAAAGTGCTGAGATTACAGGTGTGAGCCACTGCACCTGGCCAGTGAAATAATAATTTCTACTAAAGCTTTCCCACTTAGGATTGGTTGTCCTTCTGAAGGCTGGTCAGCTGGTAGGTGTTGTGCCCATTTCAAGCTTCATGACTTTTCTAGTCTGTTGTGTTAGTCAATCTCATTAGGCTCCTGTGTGACATAAACCCAGTTTTAAACAAAGAACAACAAAGTTCTTGGCTCAAGCAACCAAACTATGGTAAAGTCAAGCTTTTATAAAGTCAAGCCATTTCAGTTATTTCAAGCCAGGAACTCTCTCTCTCTCTCTTTGTCTCTCAGTTGTGTTTCATTTTAAATGCAGGATTTATTTTCAGCCACTGCTTGCTTGCTTTCTTCTTGGAGCTAGACCAATGGATACCAGCAGCTTCTAGGCTCATTTTCTCATTACCAGGAGAGAGGAAAAGACTTTCCCCCTGCTCTAGAACTTTGATTCTTCTCCCTGGTTCATATATGCCTATCCCACCACCCAACCCCCAGATGGATGTGGCCAAAGGATTGAGTTACTAAGATTAGCCCAGCTAGGATTAGATGCCTGTCATTTGCCAAGTCACTCACTGTGACTGAAGAAGCAGAGTCTTTATGGAGATAGCATTTTCATTGTCCCGCTTGGTGAGGAAGGGGGCCTTTGAAGAGAGTAGGGGCTGTTGCCTGAGAAGAGAAGGATGCAGGCAGACAAAAACTAGAGATGTTCAATACATTTGGTTTGCATGAAACTTAACTAGGGTATGTGAACAAATAGGCTGACTGGTTGGAATGAGGGTATGGGAAAGCTTTCTGAAATTGTCTGCCAGGACGTCTCTCTCCTAGAGAAGGGAATTACAGTTGGGTTATAACTTGATTGTATTAGAAAAATAAACCACATACAGAGACTTAGCACTTTATAATATTAAAGTGATGTCACTTGCATCAAGCTTATTGGAGCTAAAAGTAATCTAGTAGATAGATATATATTTTTTCCATTTTAGAGAGTACAGACTGAGTCTCAAAAAAAAAGAGAGAAAAATTTCTTGCCCAGGATCCCATAACCACTGAGTGAGATAGTAGCTTTCAGTTTGGAATCAGTAGTCCTAACTTCAAATATTTATTCCATGGAGAATCATGATTCTCCATGCTACTGAAAGTACAATTTTTAAAGGATTGATTGTTTTTGCCCAGTTTTAGGCAATGTTTTTGTATATGACTTTTAAATTGTATTAACAAATCAGTTATTCCCAATTTATTAAAGTTGTGACTTCACAGATTCCTCAGGCCAGCACAAATCTGCTCTTGTTAACGTAGTCTCTCCTAAAGGGTAACATAATTTTTAGTCTCTCTTAAAAATGTGTCTCTCTTAAAAATGGTATCTCTTAATAATTAGGTACTCTATCGGATTATATATTTCTAGATAGCCTAGAATCAGTGGCTTGAAGTGGTTTCGAACCCACCAAAGAATGATATGCTCTTTTGCCTTATGTTCTGTAATCTGATTGGCCAGAAAAGAGAAAGGCATATAAACATTGAAGTTTTAAAATATTAAATGTATTCATATCTTTAGCAATTTCTTGGTATTATTGTTTATTTCAGATGAAAAGAAACAGATGGTTGCAAATGTGGAGAAACAGCTTGAAGAAGCAAAAGAACTGGTATGTACAGACAGTAATGTATTTTAACACACAGCCAGAGCCATTTCAGCTAATGCCTTCCTCTAGCCTGTTTTATACATTGTGGAAATGTGAAGCATTGCTGATTGGCATTTTATAATTCAGAATTTGTCAGTTTTTAAATTGAAGATATTTTAATAGCTTCTTGGGATTTTATTCTTCTTAGTATAGGTGATTCATTAAATATCTGTCTCTAATTTTTATTCCATCATAATACGTTTCATAACAGCTGTAAATAGCTAATGCTGGATAAAAGCATACTGGATACCAGACACTGGATTAAAAATACTACTTGCTTTATAATATTTAATTTTCTCAATAACCATGTGAGACAATATTACTTGTCAAAAATGATAAAGGGTCTGATATTTTCTCCTATTTGCAAGCTCTCAAATGAGCTTGCTACAGTTTCATAGATGACTAGAGAAGACATGAGATTCCTAGGTCAGATACAAAAGATTTTCATTATCCACAACAAAAGCAGTTGCCAGTGTTTCAGGCTGGTTGCATCAGTTCCTGAGTTTGAATTCCCACAGTGGTGATGCAGGCAGGCCTAGATGTTGCAGGCAGGCTTACAACAGCATTAGAATGCCTTAGAGGAATGGAATGAGAGCCTAGAAAATGTGCCACTTTCTAGCAGCCTATAAGCAAGGCTGTTGTTTGTCCCAGGGGGACACATTATTTCCTCTCCCTGAGCTCCCTGCAAACACAATCCTGAAAAATGGCTCAGACAGAGTGCTCAGGACCTTGTATTCTTGGCATACCAGGCAAGACATGTAGGAGAGCATGAGAGAACCTTGGCCAAGTGATTCTCAACACTGTTACTACTCCTATTTTATGGATAGGGAGACTGAGACTTAGAAAGATGAAGTAACTTATTGGAGGTCCCAAATCTTGTTAAGTCATAGAGTAAATATTTGCTCCTAGTTTGCTAAACCCAGAGCTCTGGTTCATCTACTACTTTTTTATATAAATAAATTAGTAAAACATGGAGCAAAAAAGGACTAAAAGTATTGTGTCTTAATTTGGGATTTTAAAAGCCAACTACTACAAGCATGACTCACTTGTTACTATGCATTGTGTCCCTATATGAGTGTGTTGCTTTTCTTCTTTATTTTATTTTTTATACAGAGTCTCACTCTGTCTCCCAGGCTGGAATACAGTGGTACAATCTCGGCTCACTGCAACCTCTGCCTCCTGGGCTCAAGCGATTCTCATGCCTCAGTGCTCCAAGTATCTGGGATTACAGGCGAGCAACACCACACTTGGCTAATTTTGCTTGTTTGTTTGTAGAGATGGGGTTTTGTCATGTTGACCAGGCTGGTCTTGAACTCCTGGCCTCAAGTGATCTGCCCACCTTGGTCTCCCAAAGTGCTGGGATTACAGACATGCACCACCACGCCCGGCTAATTTTGTATTTTTGGTAGATACGGGGTTTCACCATGTTAGTCAGGCTGGTCTTGAACTCCTGACCGCAGATGATCCATCCACCTTGGCCTCCCAAAGTTTTGGGATTACAGGTGTGAGCCACTTTGCCCAGCCCATACTGCCCTTTTGATGAGGACCTTGGGAGAAAAACTTTTTTGATTTGACTATTGGGATTAATTGTGTTTCTCCTGAACATCTGGTTTGTATTAGTCTCTTGGACACTAAACATCTTGCAATTATCTTTTCTCCCACTCTGCATTGGCCACATAAATGCTGTGATAACATGGAACAAGTGCACATTAGCCTCATTCTTGCTTTTATTTTAAGTGCCTGTTGTGTGTTTCCTTTTTCTTTCTTACTTTTAATTTAGTTTTTAGTATCCATGTAAAATATCTTCAACAAAAACATACTTAAGTCTCAGATTTTGGCATGCGTGTATTTTTGCAGTTATTTTTCCGGATGATCCTGTTTACCTTGTTAGAACTAAATAATCGATTATTTCAGAGAGTTGTTTTAAATAATTGTCTTGCTAAGTAATGATTTTATTTATTGGTGCTTCTCATTTATATTGAGACATAATCATTTAAACTATCCTTGTTTAAATCAAGGCTAATTAAAATTATCTTTTTTCTTTATAATAAATTGAGGCCTATTAATTGAAAGGTGGTTGTCTGGTTTATCTGTATGCTACTATAGTTATTTAGTCGCTAACCCTGAATACAGGTTTTATTAGTGATAAACTGATAGGGTTCTGGAAGGAACTTATTAGAAAGCTTTAAAAGGTAAACTACATGTGATTTTATCAGACATGGCCTGGGCCAATTTGTTGTTGTTACTGGTTTTTCTTTTCTTTTTTTTTTTTTGACATAGAGTCTCGCTCCATTGCTCAGGCTGGAGTGCAGTGACGCAATCTCAGCTCACTGCAACCTTCACCTCCCGGGTTCAAGCAATTCTCCTGTCTCAGCATCTCGAGTAGCTGGTACTACAGGCACCTGCCACCACAGCCAGCTGATTTTTGTATTTTTAGTAGAGATGGGATTTCACCTTGTTGGTCAGGCTGGTCCCGAACTCCTGACCTCAGGTGATCTACCTGATCACCTCCCAAAGTGCTGGGATTACAGGCGTGAACCACTGCGCCCGGCCTGGTTTTTATTTTTTAATGGCAACTACAAGTAAGCCACTTCTGCTATCTTGTATAGTGCTTGCTGTATGTTCTTCATCACTTGCAATCATCATTACTAGAGTTAATTTTAATCTAGCAATTGTCAAGTAAGAGACACTGTTCTAAGTACCTTATAGGAATTGCCTCATTTAATTTTCACAACTGCTCTGTGAAAAAGATACTATTTTATAAGTGGGAAAAATAAGGCACAGAGACATTAAGAAACCTGTTCAAGATTCCATGACTAATAAGTAGTAGAGCCTATGATGTGAACGTAAGAGTCTGGCTTCAAAGCCTAGGCCCAAACCATTATAGTATTTCTGCATTGCTGCCAATTAAACTCTTCTGTGTTGTATCCAAAGTGTTATCTGATAGCAGGTTGTTTAAAAAAAAAAAAAAGCGCCTTGCTGTGATTTCACTGAGCTATATGTAATTTAGCATATTACTGTATCCATTTAATGCCATATCAGTGTGGTTATAAAGTATTGGGAGTTAGGATGAAGGTAAAGATCACATGTTGGTTGGTATGTGATTTTCCTAATTAGAAAACACCTGCCAGAATACAGGTCACCAAATAAGGCTTGGCTTGTTTCACGGATTACCCATGGGAAAGAATAGCTTACTTTATCTTCCCATAGTTGTGGAGGTTAATGGTCAGAAGACAAAACCTGGTTAGATTGAATGATGGGCTATTCCAAGTATATTGAAGTCAAATTATTAAGAATGTTTGGGTTAATTTGTTTATTTTATTTTAGTTTTTATTTTATTTTATTTTATTTTTGAGATGGAGTCTTGCTGTCTCACCCAGGCTGGAATGAGTGCAGTGGTGCAATCTCAGCTCACTGCAACCTCTGCCTCCCAGGTTCAAGCTATTCTCCTGCCTCAGCCTTCTGAGCAGCTAGGATTACAGGTGCCCACCACCACGCCCAGCTAATTTGGTATTTTTAGCAGAGACGGGGTTTTGCCATGTTGCCCAAGCTGGTCTCAAACTCCTGACCTCAAGTGATCCACCCGCCTTGGCCTCCCAAAGTGTTAGGATGACGGGCGTGAGCCACTGTGCTTGGCCAAATGTGTATGTTTTAACAAAGCATGTACTTGAGCACAATGTGTGTCACTTGGCAAGTACTCAGAGTTGCTGAACTAAACAAAAATTAAGAGTAAAAGTAGTTTCAGTGTTATTTGATCATTCAGCACCCTGAGCCTGGTTCCTCAACTACAAAAATGAGGAACTGGAATTAGATCCTTTCAGCCGTAAACATTTGTTCAAATAAGAGTAACAATGTGGTTTAAATCAAATTTTTCTCTCCTCCTTCTAGCTTGAACAGATGGATTTGGAAGTCCGAGAGATACCACCCCAAAGTCGAGGGATGTACAGCAACAGAATGAGAAGCTACAAACAAGAAATGGGAAAACTCGAAACAGATTTTGTGAGTCAAATTCGACCTTTTGTCATATTTTCTTTTCTTTTTTTTTTTTTATTGTTTCCTTCTCATGCCTCAGTCAGCATTAAATGCACAGTCTTTTGGGCTCGTGTAGAAGACAAGTAACAGCTTTCATTCTTTATGAGTTAGGGATCTAAAAAATGGTTCTAGAGAGAGCTAATGGTGGAATTTAAGGTATATTGGATTAATGACTCACAAATAGATCCAAGTCATGTGGCCCTTTGAGTGTGAATGGTATTTACTGGTACTTAGCATTTATTAAAATGTTGAAACTCAGTTTCTGGCCTTTCAGGGTGTGGAGCCTTTAAGATGCAGCCTGTACATTTGAAGCTCCTGGACTTCAGGGGCTCATAATCTCCTGAAAGCATATCTGTATTTTTGGATGCATGTTTCCATGTGTATTCTTTCCTGGGATAAACTCCATAGCCTTTATTAGATTCTTAATAGGATATATTATACCCTTCCCCCAAAAGACAAAAGAAACCACTTTTAATTGATAATTTATTTGTGATCCTTTATATTAATTGCCCATGAGAATATTTAGCTGTGTCTTCCTATATATCTGGCTTTCAACTTTATCTGCTTTATAGCAAATTTAAGAATATAAATGTAAAGACATAATGTTAAAGTTGTTAGTAATTAGACATTAATAGGAGTAGAAAAGATACAGCTGAGTAATTCCACTCCTGAGTGTATGTCCAAAAAAAAATTGAAAGCAGAGTCTCGGAGAGAGATTTGCACATCCATACTCTTAGCAGCATTTTCACAATAGTAGAGAGGTGGAAGCAACCTAAGCATCCATTGTTAAATAAATGGATAAACAAAATGTGGTATATTCATACAATGGAACATTATTCAGCCTTAAAAAAGAAAGGAAATTCTGACACGTGCAACAACTTGAATGAACCACGAGGACATTATGCTATGTGAAATAAGTCACTCACAAAGACAAATACTACATAATTCCACTGATAAGAGGTATCTAGAGTAGTCAGATTCATAGAAACAGAAAGTAGAATGGTAGTTACCAGGGACTTGAGGGCAGGGAGAAATGGAGAGTTGTTTCATGGGCAAAGAGTTTCAGTTTTGCCAGACTGAAACTTACAAAAAGTTCTGGAGTTTGGTTACTCAACAATGTGAATGTATTTAACACCACTGAACCATACACTTAAAAATGGTTAAGATGGTCAATTTTATGTTATGTGACTTTACTGCAATTAAAAATAAAAAGATATAGATAAAAAATATTTTTAAAACCCCGCCAATGATAAAAGGACAAAGAAGTTAACACAATAACAACTAACAGTTCTTATAGGCTGGCACAGGAAATTAGGTTTTCAGCAACTTAATGAAATTTCATATGACTCACATTTAAAAAAAGAAAGATACAGGGGAGGAAAGATCTGACTCTTACCTATGAGCAACAAAAGTCGTGTGTTGGGTGATGAATCAGCTGTATTTCTGAATCTGGGGCCCAAATTCACAAGGAAAGTCAAGAATGTGTAAGGATCTTTCCGCCTCAGTTCTTGCCTTAGGTGTTTTGCTTTTTGGAGGTTACACCTTCTAGGCTACCGTATACTTTTCCACTGTAAGACCAACATCAATGGACCTGGTAGAAATCCCTCCCAGAGTCTGAAAATAGGGTGATTTGCAGTTATGCATGCTTGGTTTGTGTTTGAGTGGCTGTTGTCCTGAGAAGTTGAGGTGGATCACATCAATAACTCTGATACCTTTTAGACTGTGCTCCTATTAATTAAAAAAAGACAAATTAAAACTCATGATGAGCCCAAATTGATAAAATAAATGTATATGCCTAAGTCTGTGCTCTGTACTATGTAAAATTTTCTCCAACTGCTTTGTGAAAGGCTAGTTTTTCTCAGTAAAAATATGAAATATAGTGAGAAAATTGGATTAAGAACAACTCAGATATATACTGAGAAAATTCTAACTGAAGTTAAAGTTTCAGTATAAATGATGAAAGCAAAATAACATGTTTATAAAGATTATTTTAACTTGCTTAAAAAATGAAACAAACTTTTTTGGGAACTTTTTTTTTTTAATGGAACTCTTTTCTGAAGATTTTTCTTATGGGTTCTAGAAAAACAAAGGATATGAATTTGCTAGGGCTGCGACAACAAAGTACCACAGACTGGGTGGCTTAAACAACAGGAATTTGTTTTCTCACAATTCTGGAAACTGGAAGTTGGAGTTCAAGGTGTTGGCAGGTGTGGTTCCTTTCGAGGCCTCTCTCCTTGATCTTTAGGTGGCTTCTCCCCATGTCTTCATATGTCTTCCATCTGCACGTTTCCACGTCCCAGTTTCCTCATGTAAGACATCAGTCCTATTGAATTAAGGCCCACACGAATGACATCATTTTAATGTAATCACCTCTTTGAAGACCCTATCTCCAGAGACACTCACATTCTCAGTGTGGGAATCAGGACTTCAACATAGGAATTTATGAGACACAATTCAGTTTGTAATGTTTAGGTCAGTTTTAATCTTTTATTCTTAATTTTTTTTTTTCAGAAGTTAAATTATTTCTGTGGTTTGTAAGTCAGCTAACCCAATCTTTAGTCTTTCTTGTTTCCCAAAGAGTACAGTACTGGGTGAAGTCCTTTAGGTATCTGGAAATTGTATACTTGGATAAGTGTTCCCTTCGGGCTATATTTTCTATCATAAAAAAAATGGAACCAACAACTATGAAACTAAAAATTTATTCTCTAGGCCAGGGATGTCCAATTTTTTAGCTTACCTGGGCCACATTGGAAGAAGAATTGTCTTGGGCTACACATAAAATATCCTAACACTGATGATAGCTGATGAACTAACAAAAAAAAAATCGCAAAAAACCTCATAATGTTTTAAGAAAGTTTGTGAATTTGTGTTGGGCCACAAAAAGCCATCCTGGGCTGCCTGCAGCCTGCTGGCCATGGGTTGGACTAGCTTGATATAGACTATCATTAACAATTCATGTATTTATATGTATATTTGCTACCACAGCTTTCTTCTACCATGTTAGGAAACATCTTTCACCACCTCTACTTCTATTGAATAGTGATTTACAGTTTTTAAATTACTTTAACATACATTATTTCATTTCATTGTGTGAAGAATAGAGCAGATATGGATTACTATCCTCATTTACACATGATAGAACAAAGAAGCTTAGATTAATTATAGATTTCATTCAATGAGAGTTTCTTGAGTACTATGGTGTGTCAGCCACTGTCCTAGGTGCTAGAATGCAGCAGTGGTGAACAAGATAAAGTTCTCGTTGTCATATAGTTTAAATTACAGCGGGGGAAAAGTCTAGTGGGGAAGACAACAAACAAATACATACATAGTATAATTTCAGGTAGAGATACATTACATAAAGTAAAGTGAATAAATGAATAGAGAGTGACCAGCAGGGTGATTGTGGCCATTTTTGCTCGGGTGTTCTCTGAGGTTTAAGTGAGAGAGGAAGAAACGTGTGGTTGCAGAGGAAGGATCTGTGACGGCATTGTAGGCTGTGGTAAAGACCTTGGCTTTTATTCTGGGTTGATGAAAAGTCACCGGAGGACTTTGAGAAGTGAATGGTCCTTCGACTCCTCTTTTACAGCTTTCTTCATTTTACCACACCACCTCACATGATATATTTGAATAGAGTGTAGAAAATATTGACATAACTCCCTTGTTTTAATTATTATTTCTTTTATAGATTTAATCCTTTTTTTAAATGAATGGAGAATATCTATTTAAAGATGCTTGATAGCTTTTGTATGCTGACATACCATACCTAGAAATATTGAATTTCAAGAAAGACTAGCAGAGATGGTTCTTCAGCTCTGTGTTTATTGCAGTTGAAGCCATTCTCCTGTTCCCCTTGTAATAGCAAGACTTTGAGGGAGCGTTTATGCCCATAGGGAGGGGCAGAGGACAACTCAATACTGTTTTCTTTGACTCATTTGTCCACTTGCTTTCTTTCCCCAGCCCGTCATTCTCCTCTGCTTACCCTTTGGATGCCTGGATCCTTCAGGCTTCCTCACTACTTCCTCCCATAACCTCCTCTGTGTGTTATCATCTTTCCTGTTCCTTCCATGGCTGCATCTATACCGACTGGTATTTGTAGCCCAGACCTCTTGGTAGCTCCGGGTTTATATTTCTTACTATTTATCCCAGAGTCTTTTAAACACAGTCAGATTCAACAAGTACTGGTTACTTCAGAGTTATCGTTAATTTTTCAAGCTTGTACATCCACTGCGTCATTGAGAATTAGCAGATCTACCACCTAAATATCTCTACTACTGGAAGCCTTCATGGTTTCTCTATCTGTATAATTGTAGTATGATTTCCTAATTCTGTTCTTGTGTCATTCAAAACCCTCTACATACTCCATAATTATCTTTCGAATACACTGATCTGTATATGTCATGCCATTACACAAAATCCCAGAGTCCTCATTGTCTGCTGAATAAAATCCAGGTCAATTTCTAGGTATTCTGACCTGTACCATTGCTTCTTCACATGGCTAATAGTTTTATTATACTTGCTGTTATGACCTCTATATTGTTATAAAGCCTATATTTTATTACTGTTTTTTAGAACAGTATATCTCAACCTTTTTTTTCATTATCACTTCTCTAAGGATACTTTTTAGACATGTTTTTCGTAATCATCCCACTCCTTCCCCCATGAAATTTTAATACCACAGATATTCTGTATCTGTACATCTCTTATGTACTATGGCTCCTTCGAGGGCCACACATCTTTGTAATGTCTTCAGATTCATCATACTCCCAAGAACTAATTTTTGCCTCTGTGGACATGATATTGCTCCTGTTGACAATGCATGCTTTAGAGAATGTGAGGCTTTATTCAGGCAGTTAGATAATTTACCGGCAAATCAGATTGGTCCTTTCAGAGTTTATGGTTTGACTTTGTTAGGACACATTTAGAGTAGCCCTACTTTTATGGTGTGGCCTTTCTTGGGTTCCTTCTGA